TACATAAATAATAACAATATAACAATTTAAAAAATTGTTTAAACCCCCCCCCCCGATGCATTCTCGGCTAAAAATTTAAAATCCCATTAATTCAAATAATTTAACAATTTTAAATATGTTAATATGTCAACATTTTGACATATAAAACCCCGAACGGCTTTGGCTCCAGTCATCTGGAGGACTGCTTGCACCCACATATACCTACCTGCCCCTTGAGAGCAATGAAGGAGTTCCTTTTGAGGGAGCCTCCCTCAGAGAAATAAGAAGGGTAGCTAACAGGAAGAGGACCTTTTCTACTGCTGTTCCCCATATTTGGAATGCTCTCCCTAAGGAGAGTCACCTGGCACCATCTCTGTATTCCCTTTGGCATCAGGTGAAGACTTATCTTTTTAAAAGATATTTTAATGATTCCTCCCATCGATGCCACTATGACCTGCTGGGTTTATTAATTACTGGAATTTTATGCCTGTATGAGATTAACTGGGTTTTTATTGTTAATAATTTTATTGTTGAGTTTAATATTGTGAGTTTTTAGAATATGTTATTTTAGCAGTCTGAGCTGCCTAAGGGGTGCTATAGGTGGATTAGGAGGCATGTGAATATTTTAAATAAATAAATAGTCTCCCACCCACTTTCTATCAAGGCCTGCTGGGCAACCATCCAAAATGGTTTGATGTTTCTGTATTTTGCTAGGTGATTTTAGAAACCTCTTTGTAAATTCCCAGTAACACAAGGGAAGACATGAAATAAGGAAAGACTGACATAGAAACATAGAAACAGAGTGAGTCAGAAGGAACCTCCCGGGCCATCTAGTCTGACCCCTGGCTCCAGCCAGCTCCACTGTATTTCACTATCTGATTCATCTCAGGTTATGGGTGGCACAGAAGTGGAATGAAATAATAATAAGTAAATCTCACTGCCTGTATGGATCTTGAACATTTGGGGCTAATTCTTGACTCTAATGGAGGCTAAAGATAGTATCCAGTGTCGATCCTATGTAAAGTAGACCCATGGCAATATATGGGATTCAGTTTGACTGAATTAAGCCACTTATTTCAATGCTTCTACTCCAGCAGAGACATCATCCTGCCAACCAAAGTTTGTATAGTCAAGGATATGGTTTTCCCAGTTGCACTGTATGGCTGTGAAAGTTGGACCATAAGGAAGGCTGAGTGCAAAAGGATTGAGGTCTTTGAATTGTGGTGCTGGTGGAGACTCCTGCGAGTCCCTTGGACTGCAAGGTGATCAAACCGGTCAGTCCTAGAGGAGATCAACCCTGACTGCTCTTTAAAAAGCCAGATACTGAAGATGAAACTCAAATACTTTGGCCACCTAATGAAAAGGAAGGACTCCCTAGAGAAGAGCCTAATGCTGGGAACAATAGATGACAAAAGAAGAAGGGGACGGCAGAGAATGAGGTGGATAGATGGAGTCACTGAAGCAGTCGGTGTGAGCTTAAGTGGACTCCAGGGGATGGTGGAGGACAGGAAGGCCTGGAGGAATGTTGTCCTTGGGGTCATGATGGGTTGGACCCGACTTCGCGATTAACAACAACAACCACTCACCATAGGACAAACATTGCATAGCACCCTGAGAGTTTATGATGTAAGTACTTTACGTACAAAAATAATTTATAAAAATATTATGAACCTATGAGGCTAAATAATTTGTTGGGCAAGCTGTTTTACTCAAGGGGTTTCCTGTATCAAGACCAAATATCCATTGAATCAAATTCAAATAGAAATAACAGTGCAAAATACTGAATCCAACTATCACTCAAATCTAAATTCTTGGGAAACCCAAAGTCTGGGTGATTGTAAATTCTTTGAGAAGTGATGTTTACAAGGCCAGCATGAACATTGCTCTGATTATGGGCAGCTCAGGCAAACATTATTTTTTATTAGTGTGCCCAAACATGCAAGATAACAAAACTTTGTGGACACAATCCTTGGGGATCTTTTTGGGATGTGTCAGGACTTACAGAGGAGCTTCTCCTCATCTTCTTAAGAGAGCAGCTGAACTGCCTCTGAGTTTTGCTCGCAGTTTACCATGCACTGTCTCTGCTGTGGCAGCACGATGAGGAAGCTTGTGGTTGGGGAAACAACCATAATCACACAAAGGCCCTGCTACCTAAGCAACAATAATACCAAAATAGAATCCACTGGGTTGTGGCCCATGTGACCAGTAATATATTTTTTAAGCAGTCAAGTCAATATGAAGAACATTTTAAAGTAAACACTGGTATTATATTGCTTACAGTGAAAAACAGTACAAAGAACCCATTTCAAATGACAGAAGAATGGCCTTAGCAGCAAAATAATGACCAGCCGAGAAATTCAGAGAAAATAAATGGATATCAGGACAGGCACAGTGGAACTTAGCTGGGGCAGCTGAATGACTCTTTCCCTTGTCTCTGAGTTACACTCTGAGCACTACTGTGTACCTGCTTAGACAGAAAAAGGTCCTACAACTATTTGCTAGAAGCAGAAGGACATTTGTTGTTGTTTTGGTCTAAACACCTGTAGGACTGTACAGTAACAAACAGCACTGCAGCTTGTGCTTCCACTGGATGACTGGTCAGGTCTAAGAATGCAATCCTCTCCTATCTGCACTTAGCAGGAATAACCCCCATTATGTTTTTCAGAACATGAAATCTGAGAAAATGTGCATTAAGACCTAGCTGCCCATTTCCAGGTTTAGGAAACAAATAGATGACATCCACAACATTCTCCTGTCACATGCCAGAATAAGCCAGCAGACTGTTTCTGCTTACTCTGCCTTTCTATAATCTGGGTTTCTACTTAAAGTAGCACAGTAACAGTGCACTCACCTACTGCAAACCTTGTCAGTTTTTTCTGTTCATATATTTTGAAGGACTCACATCTAGCACATTGCCTGTATGAAAAGCAATGAAATGTGGGTGCAAGAAAAAGCATAAAACCATGGATAGATTCATGATGATCACATATAAATTTTGCTGCACAACTATGTCATGGAAAGTCATCATTGGCTGAATGCAGCTTTCCAGTGTGAGCACAGCATACCAATAAACAAATAAGTTGTATTCTGTTATAGGTACTCAGCAAAATACAAGCAGCCGTTTTGTTCCCCTAGTGTAGGGGTGTTGAACCTCTTTCAGCCCAAGGATGTAATTCCGTTTTGGAGAAGTTTGCAGGCTCCATTCTTGAAGAGAGACAAAGCTAAAGTGCTTATTTAAGTATAAGTTAACTTAAAGAGTGTACTTCCTAACTAAGGCTCAGAAAAGGCATTTCAAAAATTTTGACTGGAGAAAACCTGGGAAACCACCAAATCAAGGGGATGGGGAGAGATGAGCCAGAGAGAAGCCCACTTGGAGACACAGAGGGCCATACCTGTCCTGGCAGTTGTACCAGTACTAATAAAAGACCTGACTCCTAACCCAAACATGTAATTGTTGAAAACCAGTGTGGAATAGCAATTAAAGTGCTGGAGTGGGGCTTAGGAGATCCAAGTTCTAATCTCCACTTGGTCATAAAATTAATTTGGGCCAGTCACTGATTCTCAGCCTAATCAGTGTTTTATCCTCACAACAACAGGGTTGTTGTGAGGATAAAATGGAGAAAAGGAGGAGGGTTATTTAAGTTGACTTGGCTGTCTTTGGGGAAAAGGCAGAATAGAAATATAATAAACAAACAACATAGGCATAATTCTTTGTGCAATGATTTATGCAACCAAAATGAAAGTATTGGATGTGACTCTTGCATCATACTGAAATCCAAAATATTGAACCCAAATTCTTGAGGAACTTAAGGTCTGTAAATTCTAATTGAAAAATAGCAGGCCAATGTTGTTAAAGTTTTCTGTGTTTTGCCATCCCAAAAAGACATTAAAATGAGTATGTCACATATTAAAAATGGCAAAATAGCATATTAAAAAGTCAGTAAAAATATTGTCAGCAATCCAAATGGGAAAAACACAAGGGGAAAATGTCCACATTCAAAAGATTTTTATTTGAAACATTTTGGAATCATGTTCATGTGCTGCTTCCCAGAAATAAACTGAGAACACCTAATGACCTGTGCATGAGGTGCCACAGAGCAACTACAAGGCCCCATACAACCCCTTCTCCAAACCAGGAATTTAGTCATAGCCAGCTGTACTCCGGTAATTTCTCTGATGGGCTCCTGTAATGTCATCTCAGCATGCAACCACCCTTTGAAGACTTCAGCACTTCATTTGGAGCAGAAGGCTGCTGCCTGAGCTTTGCCTGGAGAAGGCACACACAAAGAATTTGGTATGCAAGAGAGGGAATTTGGCAGGAACCGCTCTTCATGTGGGCATGAGAAAAGCTGCATTTGCTAAAATCTGTTCTTCTGCACAACAAGAAGGGTGTGCATGCCTTTCCACCCTAAAGGAGCAGCTCTGCCCCCACACCAGGCATGGGAGGTGCCGCAGGCCCAGTCGCAACTGCTGCCCCTTCAGGCCATCTCCACTGCACAGGTCACTCACACACACGAGATGCAAGTGCACTGAGGGTGAAGTGCTGCATGGAGACCCAGCTACAATGCCCCATCCCTGCACAATATTTTTCACCATTTGGAGAGTATCTCATGATAGATCTGGAAACTACCCCCTTCCCCAGCCGGTGCCCACCCCTTCCCCAGCTTAGTCCCACCACCTCTGGCGCCAGATCGGGGAATCGGGGAGTTCGGATCACCCAAAGGCTGCCTCCACCCCCGCCCCCGAGACACTTTCCTCGAGCTTTGCCCTCTTTCCCTCCCAGACGACCAGCCCAACCAGATTCGCATGCCAACCGAGGCTGCCCCGTGCAGCTGTCGCGTTGCGGAGCGCTGACCCCGGCGTAGGTAGCGCCGGAGAGGCGGGCTCGGGGAAGTCGCCTGACATCTCGGCGGAGCAATCGCCGCTCTGCTTACGGAGGTTTCCCCCTGCGCAGAGCCAATGAGCGCGGTGGAGAAAATGTGCAGCCCGCCCAGGACGACAACAAGGCGCCTTCACGAGACCTGCTTTTCCTGGGCTGAGCTGCAGGCGAAAGCGCGGCGGGCCAGGCGCTCGGAGGTAAGCGGCGGGGGCTGGACAGGCGGACGCTGCGGCTGGAGGAGGACGAGAGAAAGCACCTGCAGCGGGACACCGGCACGCTCTTCCTGGTGCTGAGCACTAGCGAGCCGGGCACGTCGGGCAGCCCTTCCTCGCCCGCCTAAACACGAAATGCTGGATCTGCTTACGTACCGGGGGAAAGGCACCAAACTGGGGCTGCCCTCGATACCGTCTGCTTGCTTTTATCTTCTTTGCCGAGCAGACTTGGTTTGAGCGGCGCCGCGGGCTGTAGGAACGGCCAAGGCATTCGGCCAGATGTTTTGTCGACTTAAACCGCATTGACACAACAGCTGATTGCGGCTCTGGAAAACCGGCTGGCCTGATCGCCTGCGGTTAGTAGGTCAGGGGTCGCCTGGGGAGGCATGCACAGTTGCTTCAGGTAAACTGGTGTGCGGTTGCTGCAGTAGGTGTGCTGGCCTGTAGCTAACTCAAAAGACAGCCCGCATCCGTCACGCATTTCCCGGGTCGTGAACCAGCCAGAAGCCGACCGGAATTCATGTATGTCATGTTTGTGATAACTTGGGAAGTCTGCTTGTTGGAAGTAGTGAATATACTCCTTCCTTTCCCAGTTTTCCTGGATGAAGTCGTCTGGAGAAAGCTGGCCAAGCATTATGCAAATCTTTATGTGTATAAACATAGAAACAGAGCGAGTTAGAAGGGTTTCTGGGGCCATCTAGTCTGACCCCTGGCTTCAGCCAGCTCCATGATAGGACATGCCTATCATGTGCATGTCCAGGCTATCCTTAAACACCCTGCCTGATGGGGCTTCAACCACTTCCCCTGGAAGGCTCATCTTTATCTTTAGACCTGCCTGTGTGTTTACTTAGGAGAAGCACTGCAATCCCTAGATAAGCCTCCTACTCCACACGTGCTGGACTACGGTGCTCATCACTCTCAGCCAACATGGTGTTGCTGACTGTGGGTGATAGAGGTGGTGGGCCAACACATCTGAAAGGTGCAGGGTTGAGAAAACTTTCCTAGGCTGAGGGAGCTTTCTACAACCTGATGCTCTCCAGATGTTTGGACTTCAACTTCCATCAATCCCAGCTGGCATGGACAATGGTCTGGAACGTAGGGAGTCATAACAAAAACATTTGGAGGGTGTCTGGTTGGGAAGCACAGCTGGCAAAGAACAGGCCTTTTCTGACAGAGTGCATCTTTGCACATTACAGGGTTTTGGAAGAAAGCATCCATTTTGCACAGTGCTCTTTAACAAGTGACATTGAAGAACTGGAGTCTGCTCATTGAAAAAGTTTTTGGTCACAAATGATACACTGCTGCCACTGGAAGACTGTCCCTTATGACGGAGGTGGGCACCCTTCAGCTCTATGGGATTGACTATTGACTAGAGCCTTAAGGTCCAGCAACTTGAATTGGATGCAACACTTTTCATCTTTGTTCAGTAAAACTTTGTTTCATGTCTACTGGACACTTCATCATCTCTTTGCTAAGGGATTACCTAATTCAGTTAATTTCTGGCTGTGCAGTGCAGCTAATGCTTCTTTTAAACAGATGTTTTGGTAATGTTTTGAAGTTCACCCTCAGCTAATGCTATGCATTACAGGACTTTTGCTATATTAATGCACAGCATATGGTTGCCATCTTCAAATGGATACTTAATTGTATCTTTGGCTTGCTTTTGATGAATCGTGTATAATTACTAGAAGGTTGTATATGTTTCATACGAATCCATGTGCATATATTAAACACATGGACAAAATTCAGAACCCTGAAAAGTAAGTTTTCTTGGGAGCACATTGAACCATGTTGGGGCTCCTTTTGTGTGTGCCATTAGGGGGTTCCTGTGGGTTCCCTGGCACCCCTTCTGATCTAAGGTGATAGCCGCTGTATGAGTGTTGCACAGGGATGGAGGTGGCCTAGACCAAGATGGTTGGCAGTTGCTCCAAGGAGATGCTGAGGATCTGCTTTGGGCTCTAACCCTAACTCTTGCCTGCAGTAGAAGGACTACATAGCCATGCCCTGCAGAATGTGCACTGAATGTGGCTGGCATAATTGCACCATAATTGCTAAGAGGCAGGTTACACATCCATAGCACCTCTACCTTCTGTTTATTTCCAGAACCAGGTGAAGACCTTTCTGCTTTCCCTGGCATTTTAGGGTTACAGTTTATGTAGTTTTAAATTGTTACTGTATTTTATATCTTTGCATCGCTGCTAAGTTTTAACTTCAATTTTATACTGTGGTTTTAAATTTTCAAAACTTTAATGGGGGGGTTGTTTTTTGGTTCTTTGGTTTCAGCAGTTGTAAACTGCCCAGAGAGCTTTGACTATTGGGTGGCATGGAAATGCAATTAATTAATTAATTAGAAGCTTGCACTGGCAGTGTGAGAGCAAGCATGGATCAAAACAGACCACTGACTTTTGCATTATTTCTCAAGGAATGCCAGTAGACACACCCCTTCTAATTACTGTATATAAAATAATTTTATAATAAAACAAAGTTGCAGTGTTTCTCATCCCTTGCTTATTGGCTATGGAAATTCAGGGATGCATACATTCTTTTCCTTTGACCCAACTAATGTATTCCTTTCTCTCTGAATCAGAATTTGAAACTAAAATTCAAGCATGAAGAATTTCATAGTGGAACCTGTCATTTGCATATACATGTTTGTTTCTTCTATGGAAACACCCTTGGTACAGCAATATATATACAGAAGACTTTGGGAGGAGACCACTAATACCACCTTCATAGATAATGACACAATTTCTCATTGTGAACTAAACCAAAGCAATCCAGCTTTCTTGAAACAGCAGGTAAGGTTTCATTGCTCATTGGGTGCAACTTGGACAAGGTCAAATACACTTAAGAGTCTTCTTTGTGTTTGCTCAAACATAAGCCCTATTTAGTTCAGTGGTAGTAAGTGCATATAACTTAATGGGGTTTACTTCTAGGTAAGCATTTGTAGAACTTCTCTGTTCTTCAGTGGTGGGCAGAAGTTAGATCAGGATGTGCTGTTGGATCTATGGGTGATTTGCCATGGATCAGCAAGGATTCCTTACTCCAAATTGTTGAACAAACAAACAACAAAATGGCTTTTAGCAGTATAAATTCAGTAGTAAAATTATACTGCTCCAAATGAAGAAAACTTGTGGAGGGTGGGGTAAACTGGGGTGGAGTTTTGTGTGGGAGAAAAGGTGAGGTCTGTTCAGCTCAGGTACTAAAAAGCAAGATTGCATGAAATTCTTGGCTTGAGAATTCTTTAATTTTCTCTATGCTTCTTTTGCATTTGAGTTTGATGTTTGTATCTTAGAGTGCTAGCCTGAAATGTGTCCATGCTTATCACAGATCTCACTGAAGTCAAAGCTAGGTGTGCACTTTGAGTTCCACTGACTTCAGTGATATGATTAAAAATGCAGCTTTGTATTGTAAGTATTGCAAGAGCGTGCATACATGAGTGGATAACCAGGTATATATAAGACTTTTTTTAAAGCTTGGGGCAGCCACAAAAGAATCCTCAACTGGCAGGTCCAATCTTGCTGGAATAAGGAAGGAAAGAGAACGAGAGGTCAAGCAGAACTTCTGCAGTTGGGAACGCTATGATCTTGGCATAGCCACAGAAAAGGCCATCTCCCATGCCTCAGCTAAGCTGTGTGTCAGGCACTGTTGGGACATGAAGAGTCTTCCCAGCATATTCCAAGGAATGGCTAAGCTACATCCTGGGCCCAAGCCATTTCAGAGCTCCCACCTTATTATTCAGCACTGTCTTAGAGCAGCTTATAAAATAGAGGTGCAGAGTATTTTTCAACCCTAAATCTAACTTCTGTCTGGGAGACTTTCCCGAGGGCCACATTCCAGGGATGGGCAAGGCTGAAGGCAAAAAATCCAGCATATTGTAGATTGCAGCCAGCAATTAAACACTAGGAGAGGCATTTTAACTTTTCAGAATGGGGAAAAACCCTGCCCCAAGCAAGGAAACCATCAACTGAGGGTGTCTGGTGCCAAGAGACTGTGGCTGTGAAACAGGCTGTGACAGGTCTGGTCAGATCCTCAGGTAGGCCTGATTTGGTCCCCAGGACCTGAGGTTCTGCACTCTCGATGAGGTTCTGCATGTGAAAACTTGCTGATGAAGAGAAGCTTCTTTATACAAGGCATTTATTTGAGCACTCTTGTTTCCTCATTCCTGGTAGTTTGCAGGTGGTTTAGATGACATGATTATCCGCCAGGGCCTCTCTAATGCTTTGTAACTCTTTTCCATAGCTTTGTTTCTAGATCAGGGAATGTGTGCTATTATTTGGAAAAGACAGAATGAACGGGAAGGAGACACACATGTATTTGTGAACTTCCACTATATTGTAGTGCCAGTCATGGATGTGTGATGGAGCATTGAAAGGCAGAAAAGGAAAGTAAAACCATGGGGGAAAGCACAGAAGCCTCAGTAGGACGCAAGTTCAAAGCCTCAGGTAGAGAAACCCAGAGTCCTGTTGATTTCTGTAACTGCATTCAAAGGTACTTCCAGATGAGCTTGTTAAGATGTGATAGACTTGTTTCATTCATGAGGTTTTATATGGGGATCTTGCATGTATTCCCAGCTTTGTTCCATCTTTTTCTCAGAAAAAGAGTATCTGTTAAGGAAAGAAGCCAATGCCTTTGGACTATTAGGACTAGGAGCCCTCTGTCTGGAAGCAACCCAAATCTCATTGATTCCTTTGCTTGTATGTAGAATCCAGCAGCTGGATCAGTTCATGGAAGCTGTGATTCTCAACTTCTGCTTGTTTGATGTGGGTCCCCTTGTCTCTCCCACCATTACCCCACGTACAAACATTGCCATTGTATGAACTTTGTCCTTAGAAAATTAGAGGCTATATTGTGCAAATTAAGTGTGCTAACGGAGAGAAATGTACCAAAAACAGCAGATCGTGCTAGATAACCTTAAATCTCTGCTCCTGCCCTTGTGTACTCACCATTTTTATGTCCTCCTTCCCCTTCTTCTGTTTATATCTTCTTGGCTGCAGCTGGATTAATTGGGTAGCTTGAGAGCTGTAGAAGAGTCATTGTGCATTCAAAAAGTCCCACGTTCATTTCCTTGCATCTGCAGGCAGAGTTGGGAAGAAGTGCCTGGCTGAAGCAGTCCAACCCCCCTGCTCCCTTGGCTCTCAGTATGTCTCTGTCTCATCTGCAGTGAACTTGGGCAGGAGAGCGTGTTGCGTTCGTGTCCCACTGTTGCACTTCTCATGGACGTTGTTGCACTGTTGTTAAGCGATGTAGTGATTTAATTGTGATACGTAGTTGATTTAATTGTATTTTTAACCTTTGTATACTTTTGATAGTTTGAATTGAGAGGATTTTAATGTTGTGAGCTGCCTAGATTCCCAATCTCTGGGAATAGGTGGGATATAAATAATAATGATAATAATAGTGGGGAAATTAGGATTCCTGAATTTAGGAACAGTGGGGGATTTAGGATTCTTGCTTAGATACATTGTTGGATAGGTGCTAAGTGGTCTGTGGATAGCATGGTTTCTCTTACGACATCTGATCAGTGATGCAGTTAGGCAATTTTATACTCGTGTTGGGTTAATGTGGTATTTTGTTTACTTAGATGGTAATATGCATTACTTATGTCAGATGTGATCAGTCTGCCCAGCTGCATCTGGGGGCTCTCCTGAGTATTTTACTGAGTGGGTCCCCTGCTTCAAAGGCCTTCTCTGATGGCATCGTTGCATATTGGAGCAGTGGAAACCTATTTCAGCCCCATGAATGAATTTGATTCCAGAGACGTTCTTGAGAGCCACCTCCCAGTGGTGGGTAGGGCTGAAGGCAAAGGGAGTGGGACCAAATAGATCATGGCCAAGTACAACCCCTTCCAATATTGTAGCGTAAGGATGCAAACCTACTGAGAAGCTTATGGGCATCCGGCACAAAGTGAGAGGAGCAGCAGAGGCACTCGTCGCTTCCCCACATCATCGACTCTGTGCTTTTGCTAGATGGCCATTTGCACAGCTGTCTAGTGTGGGTGCTGTGGCGGGGGGCGGGGGGTCAGGGAGGTTGCGGAAGACATGAGGTAGCATGAACTGTGGCCTCTGTGGTCTTTGCCCATCCCCATCCACTGGAGTGCCTCTTTTCCCTCCTCTCCAAGGTTGAATTCCCAACCTTGGAGAGGCTGCCGGCATGGTTCTTTATTTGCCAGCTCCAAGCAGGGAGGAGTGTAGATTCCCAGTTTTAAGGTTGCAGGTTCTTCTCCAATCTCAGATACAAGAATTCAAACTATCCTACTGCTCTGTGGATGATGAGTCTTCTAAGACTTTTACTGCCAGTAAGAAGCCTTTGAAGAGGCATTTCTACCTTTTAAGAGAGGAAAAATAAACTACACAAAGCTATGAAACCATCAAAGGATTTATGGCTTGGGGAAAGAGAGTGGGGTTTGGGGAAGAGGACAAAACCATCTGTGGAACTCTGCACAGCTGGAATTGCTCGTGTACCTGTATGTTTCCCCACTACAGGCACACTGTCACTCAAAAGTTACACATAAAACATACACATTGATGTAAAGATTAAAAAAAATGTACACATGCATTCCAAAATCCGCAGCCATACAGTTCAAATGCACACAACAGAACCTTCTCTTGCTTATTGGTACTTTGTTGTTAAGGTTTACAAAGAAATGCTTGCATAGGTTTGCAAAGAAATGTCACCAACGGTGCCTTTGCCCTTTTGTGGCCTTTCTGTCATATGGCAGTTCTTTACAGCTGTGTTTACACAGATATACAGGTGTTCAGATACTGCTAACTAACACTGAATGCATTGGATGATTATGTGAGTTATAGTCCAGCAAAGCATCTGCGTCATAAGTCTTTAAGGTGCCATGAAGGTCTTTGTTGCATGCTCATTCCAGTGGATCAACAGAGCTACCCCTTTGGATTGGCCAGGGAGCCATTGTATGCTGTTTCCTGCAAGCCAAGCAAACCTATAGCTGCATGGCAGTGGTGGGAGCATACATATTTTTTATTATTTTATTTTATATTTAAAACATTTTTATGCTGCCCCCATCGCAACAAAGCCTCGGGGCGGCTCACAAATATATTATGTATATATATATTATGAAAGAGAAATTCACATGTTGAAGCAAACAGCAAATCATTACGCGGAAATGCATTGGGAGCAGACAACATGGTGTTGGCCAAGATGCTGTACTGCTTCCATTTAAAAACAAGGAGACCCATTTTCTGACTGGTAGCTGGGCTTGCTGTGATAGAAGTCCAGCTGGTGCTGAAAATGGTGGGCTCAGAGGAATGGTTGCACATCCTGGGGCTCAGAACTGCCTTGGCCTTCTACTCAGTCTTGTGGACAGGCCCTGCCACCCCACTCATGGCCATCTTTCGGTGGCGTAGTCCAGGACAACGTCTCCAGTTGCCGAGCATGCCCATGGCCCATTAAAAGTTGCCTACCCTTGAACTAGGTTCACTGATGGACTTTATTTCCCCTTTGTCTTTTTCTCTTCCAGGAAGTCCAGGAAAAAGCTTCTCTATTTTCCATGAAAAAGGAGTTATGTTCAGCCATTTTGAGCATTTTAATGGCCTTTATTCTTGTAGCAAATGGAGACCGCTGTGGACGCAAATGGTCGCTAAGTCTTCCTCTGGTAGGGAGTCTCCTAGGCAGCACCTTCCTCGGTTTTATGTCCTACTTCTCTCTATACCTCCCTCTGTTGTTCGCACTGTCCTTTGTCACAGGGTTATTTGGGGGCATGGCAACTTTCCTTGGAGGCGCATTTTCATATGTGGTTGATCTCTCTGAGAACGAGAGACAGAAGACTGTCCGAATAGCTGTGGTAGACCTGATCTTTGGACTCCTGTCTGGACTGGGAGGAGTGGCCTCCGGATACATTTTGAAAAGAATAGGCTTCACATGGACATTTGCAACCGCTTCACTGCTTCAGGTAGTGAACATTGTCTATGTTACGTGTTGTCTGGATGAGACTGTGAAGATTTCTGGGTGCCAGCCACACTCTCTGAGAGAAGGCATTAAAGACACCTTCTCTGGAGTGTGGCTCCTCTTTAAGTTGTCCTCTTGTAGGAAGCGGGCCACGATCATCCTCTTGCTCTGTGTGTTCATGACTTACTTGTTCACCATGTTTGGTGGATTCTCACTTTACACACTCTATGAACTGAATGCTCCCCTCTGCTGGAACGCAGTCTACATCGGATATGGCTCGGCTGTCTCCACCTCGGTTTCTCTGACTGGCTTTCTGGGACTGCTTTTACTTTACCGGTGCCTGGGAGATGCCTGCCTTGTTTGCATTGGAATCATTTCTTACGTCGGAGGAGCAGTCATGGCTGCCTTTGCCAACACTACGTTGCTGATGTTTTTAGGTGAGTTCTGCACTGGACCGATGCCATGTAGAAGCTATTTATTATTATTTATTTAACCTACATTGCCTAATTTGGTTTACATGATCCCCCTCCTCCTCTACCTTTTATCCTCACCACAACCCTCTGAAGTACATTAGGCTGAGAGTCAGTCCCCTCATGGCCAGGGGTATTCTAGAACCCAGTCTCCCCAGTCTCTGTTCATTGCTTCAGTCACTACACCATGGCAGCTGCTGTGGTGTTGCAGCTTTGGGATACCCAGGTTACAAACAAGTTCCATTCCTGAGAAAATGGAAAGTCATTTTAAAGATGAAATTGTATATGAGCCAAATCACCTATAGTTGGCCCTCCACATTCATGGGGTTAGGGGTGCAGGACCCCTGTGAAAGTAAAACAAAAAAAACCCTCAAATTTTTGAGAGGTTTCCACCACAACTCACCACTGCCTCCCCTTTGCGGCAAGGAAAAGCCAGAGAGATTTCCCTCTTTGGGTGAACTGAGCAGTAAGGCATGCTTTGGAGGCCTTCCTTCTCTTCCCTTTTGCTTCTCTCTCTATGGTGATGACAATTTTCCACAGTAATCTTTTTAAATTAACAGGCTCTATGGCAGTTCGTTCATAAGTATGGACATTACTTGGACATTAGTAACTTCAGGACTGCTTGTACAATGCCCAGCCTTCCTGGTCATTGCCTCTTCTAGTTAGGGCTGATGGGAGTTGAAATCCAAAACTTACAGAGGGCACCAGGTTGGGGAAGGCTGGTTTATCTCATTACCTGGTACCGACCTTTTAACTGGAGATGACAAGGACTGACCTTCTAGGTTATTAATTATCAATGATCTGTATTACCATAGCACTTACTGTTGTTATAGTAATATAGATAATTACTGTATTGAAATAAACACGTTTATAAAAATACATATATTCATTTCAAGTATTTTTATGATGCTACTCAGCCAGAAAGTCTTGTGGAAAAAGTTACATTTCATCTACTAAGCAAGACAAACCCTGATCACAGGCTCACCATCTGAAAAGATACAGCACACAAGGAAGAAGGTCCAAGGAGAGAAGAGGGGAAGACATGAAATCTTGGCGCTGCTTCTTCCGCTCATTTCCCTCCGTGTAGCCTGCTGGAATGGCTGCTGGGGGCCACCCTTGTGGAGGAGGGGTCTTCCTGCGTGAGGCCTTTCAAGTAGGACTGGTAGAATTGGTGTCCATCCCTCTCCATATGCAGCACCAGGACATGGAGAGAATAGTTATGCTCCTTTAAGAGGGCTGCTGCCGCCGCAGTTGTCATTTATTTATTTATTGCCCTGTCTTTCCATCTATTAGGCTGCTTAATAGTTTAATCAGAAACAAAAACCATAAAAAGAAGAAAAGCATTGCAAGCATTTCCATTCAAAGCAGAAAGAGCACTTAAGCAGGAAGAAGACCGATTGTGCCAAATGTCCTCTTGAAACAAGAGTACTCTACCTTGTTAACTGAATGCAGGCTGCATTCAGGAGGGCGAGTGAGGCTTCTCCCTTGGAACCATTTCTGCAAATTGGGTGCCACTTTCCAGGAGGCCCTGCTTCACACATCACTTACTACACTTCAGATACCCAAGGGGACATGGAACAAGGCCTTCTCATCATGTGAAGAGCTGTTTTCATATCTCCTGTTTACAAGCAGATGTGCACAACCAAAAATAAGTTGCAAATAACCCACTGACTATGGCCATTGAATGTCACATATCCCTCATTTTCTCATCCCATTAGCAGTGCTCAGTGACTAAGAAATGTTAGTGTTTAGGCTGCAAACACGGCCAATGAGAAGGTGACATCCTGCCTGGCTTGCTGACCTCACTAAGCCTCTGAGTAAGAAAATAAAATATTGCAAAAATTATGTGTTTCTAACAACTCTGTATGTTACATGACCTTTTTCATTTTCACCTTTATCCAGGTTGTCCTAAGGTGTGGTGCTTTTATTGCCCCACTTACATGATGTGTGGTGCTTTTAGTAAGGCAAACAGTGACTTCAGAGGTGGGAGAGGCATGTAAAATCATTGCATATAAAATGCATTTACAAAAGATGAATATAACTGCTGTATTCATGAATTCCTGCTTTTAATGCTGCTGTGCTTAAAAGGTACCTTGGCCTTCTGGGTGGACATGCACATTAATGTTTTGTGTCATCTGTGTTTGGAAGAGATGCTGTAAATAGTCGCTGCAGTGTTTCCCAAAATCCCTAACTGGGTTAAAAGACTGTGCTCCTAGTCTTGTTGAGTCTTATGTCAGTGCAACCCTGTGCCTGCCCAGACCTCCTCCTGCTAGCCCAGGCGGCCATATGTTCCCCTTTCTCTCCCCTTTCCTCCCTTCTTCTATTGACCTTTGCAGCAGATGGCACTGAACTGTATAATGAGACTATTTCCCTTTCGTGGTTAGAAAGTGTGTTAATTCATGTGCTTGTGCCTTGCAGCGCGGGTGCCATCTTTGCTACTTTTTGTACCTATCCCAGTCCTTCGATCCATGCTATCCAAGGTGGTTCTTCCCAAAGAACAAGGTGAGTTGATGTTATCAAATAAACAGTTGTTATTGTCACAGGGTAAATTACAAAAGAGACTAGACAGGGTTTGCTTGTTTTCCCCACTGCATTTCCAACGTGGACAAACAGTAACACTTTCAAGTTAGCTGTGCCATGGACAGTGGAACATTTCCTTGAACCACCCATGGTGTGTTTGGCTCAACCCTCTCACCTGATAGAAAGCACTTTCCACTTGGGCAGGGATACCTGTCTGATGGGTTTCCCCTGACCTGTTTGAGGTGAATGTGGACAATAGATCTGCAGTGTTAAATGTGGTGGCGCACTTGTACAAGCCCCTCATTACTTCACTCTGAAAAATTACTGTCAGAACTGGCTTGTGGGTAGAAGTCTGAGATGAGCTGGGAACCAAGAACAAGGAGCCGGGGAATGAAGCTAGGTGGCAGGACTGAGGAACAAACCAGGACTGAAGGGGAAGACAGAGATCAGGTATAAACAGCAAATCAGAACTGTAGGAGAACTGAAGGGCACAGGAATATGCCTTGGTGCTTCAGCAAAACTTAATTGGAAGAGGAAGCAGTCTTCTAATACCTTCTGTCCAGGAAGAGTCAAAGATCAGCTTGGGTGGGCATGGTCAGTCCAGAACCCCAAAATACGAATGCCACATAATCAGTCTCATCATCTGGTGTCAGATCAAGAGAGCCACCAAACTGAGTACTATACAGCAGTCCTGCCCACAATTGTTGGGGACCCTCCTCAGGGTGGTGCTAAGTCCGTTTGGCTAAGAAAGGAGGAGGGGGATTCAGTTTGGAATCAATTTCTTGGCAGAGCAGAAATCTCTCTAATTAGCTAGCTTCCTAACTTGGGGGTGTCTTTTGCTACCGACTGCTTTTGTATCTCAAAGCCAGCTGGCTGGCTGGCTGGCTTTAACATAATAAACACTGTGGTTAGAAGCCTCCTGTCTCAATCTGCTTGGAAGAGGGGAGGGGAAAGACTGGCCTCCCACAGTTCCACCTCTAGTTTACCAGGTCACAAAATGCCACAGCTGGAAAACAGTTGGCAGGGTTCTCTGGAGGTGGTGGGAAGGCAGCAGAGGGCCTTCCTGGTGAGGAAAGGATGGTGCATCTTTCCAATCTTCCCACCCCACAGCCTGATGCAAGTGCATGAGCCTGTGTAATGAGAGGGCCAGCTCAGATTAGGAAGATAGACACACAAGGGGAAAAAGCAATAGAACTAGTGGGGAGGAGAAGAGATCAAGAGATTCAGTAGGACTTCTTCTCTTCCTCAGTGCAGCCTGATGGAATGGCTGCTGGAGTTAAGAGGTGACGGAGGCGGAGCCCTTGCAAGGGAGGTCTGCATCAGAGTGAATGGCTCTGAAAGAATGGCTCCTCTTTCCGATTCTGATTCCAAGTCTTGCTCAGCTGGGAAAGAAGTGGCTTGAATAGGATGCATGTATGGTTTGTGGTTGCAGATCAGGGGCACAGCCCAGGCATGGTCTGAAGGCGTGTGAAGCAGCCTCCTCACTGTTGTTAAGCAGGTTTTGTTCTACTCAGTACTTGGAAGGGAGACCACATGAGTCCCACAGTGGAAGAAAGGTGTGATCTAAATGCAGTTAATATATAGCACAACACTATAACAATATAGTCTTCATACTGCAGTTGTACATCTAGTTGTTTATTTCCATCACCTAATAGAAAACATTATCTGTGTTTATATATGCGTACATAAATGTTTAGGTTTGGAAGATAAGTATCATTTCAGCTGTTTTCTTGTCTTGACAGGAGCTCTGTTTGCTTGCATTGCCTGCCTAGAAGTTGTTACTGGCACAACTTCACTTGCTGTTTTTAGCAAAATCTATGCAATGACTGTAGCCTGGTTTCCAGGTTTCGTTTTCCTCTTATCAGCTGGTCTCTGTATACTTCCACTAAGCTTGCTGAGGTGCGTACAGATCCTAAACATTTGGTAAAGGTCATGCTAAGGGCAGTGACACTGTTTGGGGCTGTTTGGGGCTGAGCGGGGGCTGACCTGGCCAGGGTCTTTGTTGTTGGCCAGCGGGTGGAATTGGTTAAATTGGGCGGCGGGGATTGTGGGTGTGTTTTTAAGCGTTTTAATGTGTTTTTAAGCGTTTTAATGGATTCATCTCTGGCTTTGAGTATGGGGTTGCCTGGGGAGCGCGTGGGCACCGCCATTGGGGTGGTCACGGGCAATGGGCGTTATGGCGTTGGGGGTTTAACGAGTCTGCCTAGAAGAAGGAGGGACAGATGGTTAACACCTGTTCCTCTTTCTGGTTATTCCCCCAGCCGGCGGGTTCCAGGTAGGCTTGCCAACCGCCCCCCGGGCCTGTTGGTGCTGTTGCTTAATGCCAGGTTGGTCCAAAATAAGTCATCACTTATCCACAACCTGATCGTGGATGAGGAGGCTGACCTGGCTTGCATTACAAAGACCTGGGTGGGAGAGTGGGGGAATGTCTCCCTCTCTCAACTGTGCCTGCCCGGGTACCTGGTCCAGAACCGACAACGCCTGGAGGGGAGGGGGGTCGCTTTGGTTTACCAAGCCTCTGTGTCCCTCATTGGGCTCCTGTCCTCTTGAGGCCGGATCTAGAGTGCCTCTACTTGGTGTTGGGCGACCGAGACAGACTGGGGATTCTGTTGGTGTACCGTGCACCCTTCTGCCCAACAGACTCCCTGCCTGAGCTGGTGGAGATCGTCTCGGATTTGATGTTGAAGACTCCCAGGATGTTGGTCCTGGGGGACTTCAATCACCATGCCGAGACAGTTCTGACCGGGGGGGCTCAGGACTTCATGGCCTCCATGGTGGCCATGGGGGTGTCTTAACACGTCATTAGCCTGATCCATGAACGTAGACACACTCTGGACCTGGTTTTCTCGACAGGGCAGGAAGAGGGTGATCATAGGGTGAGGAACTTGTGTCTGACACCCCTGTCATGGTCAGATCACTTCCTTGTGAGGTTTGAGCTCGAGAGCAGCCTTTCCCTCTGTAAGGGTGCGGACCTGATGGTGCTGGTCTGCCCCCGGAGCCGGATAGATCTGGATGGATTCCTGAAGGCCCTGGGGGATTCCCGGTGGATAAGGCTGGTGCTCCTGTTGATGCCCTGGTTGAACTATGGAATGGGGAAATGACCAGGGCTATTGACACAATCGCTCCTAAGCATTCTCTCCCACCTGGCAGAGCCCGTTCATCCCCTTGGTATACACCTGAACTACGGGCGATGAAGCGGGTTGGGAGACGTCTAGAGCGCAGGTGCAGGAAATCACAGGATGAGTCTGACCGAACACACTTAAGAGCCCAATTTCAGGCCTATGCTGTGGCAGTGAGGGCGGCGAAGAAGAAATTCTTCTCCGCTTCCATTGCCTCCTCACAATGCTGTCCGGCGGAGCTCTTTCAGGTGGTACAGGGGATGGTACATCTGGGCCCAAAGAAAGATCTTGTGCCACCCTTGAAGGCCCACTGTGATGACTTCACCAAGCATTTCAGGGAGAAAATCGCTCAAATTCGTCATGAGCTGGACTCTACTAGTGAATCAGATTCTACTGGGGAGGTGCCAATGTTGCCGTCTGGTCTACAATTGATGGATGAGTTTCAGTTGTTGCGGCCTGATGATGTGGACAAGGTGCTTGCACAAGTACGTCCTACCATCTGCTTACTGGACCCTTGCCCATCTTGGCTACTCAAGAAAGCCAAGGACGGGATTGGGACCTGGATTCTGGAGGTTGTCAATGCCTCTCTAAGGGACGGCCAGGTACCTGCCCCTTTAAAGGAGGCAGTAGTCCGGCCAGTCCTAAAGAAGGCATCCCTGGATCCAGAGGTGGCCACCAATTATAGACCGGTGGCCAACATCCCATTCTTGGGCAAGGTGTTAGGCGGGACAACTCCAAGCACTCTTGGATGAGACTGATTATCTAGACCCATTTCAGTCCTGCTTCAGACCCGGGTATGGTACTGAATCTGCCTTGGTTGCCCTGTATGATGACCTGTGCAGGGAGAGAGTCAGGGGGAGTGCGTTCCTGTTGGTTCTCCTGGACCTCTCAGTGGCTTTCAATACCATCGACCATGGTATCCTTCTGGATAGGCTAGCGGGATTGGGAGTTGGAGGCACTGCTTTGCGGTTATTCTGCTCCTATCTCAATGGCCGATTCCAGAAGGTGGTGCTGGGGGACTATGGCTCTGCGCCATGGCAGTTATGCCATGGAGTTCCGCAGCAGTCCATTCTGTCACCCTTGCTATTTAACATCTACATGAAACCGCTGGGGGAGGTCATCAGGAGGTGTGGGCTGCGGAATGATCAGTACGCTGATGATACCCAGCTCACCTCTCAATCCAGGTGAGGCAGTGGCTGTACTGAACCGGTGCCTGGCCGAGATAATGGGTTGGATGAGGGCCAATAAATGGGCTGGTTGAGGGCCAATAAACTGAAGCTCAATCCAGACAAGGCAGAGGTCCTGTTGGTGGGTGGTTCGGCCTTTGGGGTGGGGGACCTGGACCTTGTCCTGAATGGGGTTGCACTCCCTCTTAGGAACAAGGTTTGCAGCTTAGGAGTGCTCCTCGACCCTGAGCTGTCATTAGAAGCTCAGATGATGGCGGTGGCAAGGAGCGCTTTCCTTCAGCTTCGGCTGATCCATCAGCTGCGTCCCTTCCCTTCAATTGCCTGGCAACAGTGATACATGCGCTGGTAACTTCCCAATTAGACTTCTGTAATGTGCTCTACGTGGGGCTACCCTTGAAGATGGTCCGGATACTTCAATTGGTGCAAAATGGAGCTGCCAGGTTGCTGACTGGGGACTTCTCATATAACCCCAGTTCTCCGCCAGCTCCACTGGCTCCCGATTGAAGTCCAGGCCCAATTCAAGGTGTTGGTTATGACCTATAAAGCCCTAAACAGCTTGGGACCTGGTTATCTAAAGGAGCGCTTGCGTCTATATATGCCCTGCTGCCCCTTGAGATCGGCAGCAGAGGCCCTTCTCCAGGAACCCTCCGTGAAAGATATTAGGAGGGCGAGTACCCGGAAGAGGGCCTTCTCTGCATTGGTGCCCCACCTATGGAATGTGCTCCCCAAAGAGGTCCACCTGGCGCCATCGTTATTTGTTTTTTGGCGCCAGGCCAAGACCTTTTTATTTAAAAGTTATTTTAATTGTTAATTTATTGTCTGTATTTATTGGGTTTTTATGTAAGTGCCAAGATGTGTCCAGTTTTTTAAGTCTAATTATTGTTGTTGTAAGCCGCCCCGAGGCTTTTTGTGAATGGGGCAGCATAGAAATGGTTTAAATAAATAAATAATTAAATAAGGAGTATTGAAACTGGGACTGAACTGAGTTTCATGTTGCGGAAGCTCTGCAGGCCTGTATACGTTCAGTGGTTGGGACTGAAGGAAAAGCGAGGCAGGCTAAATACTTGCCAAAGATACCAGCATTTTATTTATTTTATTTTATTATTTTATTTATTTTATTTTTTTAAAAGCCACCTATTAGCATAATACTTTCTGGGTGGGTCTTACAATAAAATAAAGATTATGTTGGCTTAAAGCTTGTAAAAAATACTTTAGCAAATAGAATAAGGGAATAAGAATATGGAAAAACTGTGCAACTTGCAGGAAACCAAACATAAGTAACACACAAAAGTGTGTGGAGGAAGCAGGGGAAAGGGCCATGGCCATCTGGGGAAACCTGGTGGGCCAGATTGGGAGGGTTACCTTTGCCCATCAAGTTTGAGAATCTGCAGATCTGCACACCTGTTTTACATGGACAAAGCATATGTTGGAAGTTGGTTGAAATCATCCTATTTTTAATGTAAACCTTCCTTGGCCATTGTTTTCATGAACAAAAACAGCTCCAGTTTTGCATCCTTTATAATTACCCATACCTCGCTTTGTTCTGGGGCATTGTGGGGAGGGGGAAATTGGCTGCCAGAAAAAAAAGGTGAAGAAATTTTGAAAATTTCCCCAAGTAGCATTGTATTTCTAATGTAGGGAGTGAGATAAGAAAAGAAACACCTCAGAGCTTTCCTTGGAAAAAGATATTCAGGGCATTTTTAAAAACAATTGCAAAAGTGCTCTGCAGTTTTGCAAGGTGAGACTGGTAATTGCAGGGCTGTAGCCATTGCACACTTTGCACAGCCGGCATTTCCCCAGCTCCTACTGACCAATGCCGGCAATCTGCAGATGTTTTTTTTCTTGGCACAGGAGAAGATATTTGGCCATGGCATGGATGCTTTTGGCCGCCTCACTTGCTCTCAGAATGTTCTGTCTCTGCTTGCCCTTAATATAAAGCTGGCATGATGGATGAGTAAATCGAATAAATAAGTAAGCAAAGAAATGTGTGCAGGGGAAGGATCATTGTCATCGTATTGAGCAGGCCACCTCGATCCCTTCCAGGGCATTGTATGTCAACTGTGAGGTTTGTGGGCATTTTCGATTGATTCCACTACTGCATGTTCCCTGTCTCCTTTGAAAAATGTCTTCTCTCTTCCAGCTCACTTACGTGTGTCACTAAGTGCAAAGAAGACTTTGTGCAGCTGGTGAATGAAGAAGACTCCCTGGGAGAGAATGTGGACAGCTGAACCAAGGATTCACCTGAAAGCTAGTTCTTATCTGCCTTTTCGAGTGTTGATCGTGTTGTCAGGGGTCAACTGCGATCTGATTTTTGCAAGAATTGACTAGCCCAGATGCTCTGCTCTCCTGGCCCCTAAGATGTCGTACAAAGGGGAAGGAGGAGGAGTCATAGAGTCACCTTGGTTGTGCTCTAACAAGGGCAGTAGATAATATTGCTGATCAAAGAGCAGTGCTTTAAAACTCTAGATCAGTTGCCTGGCACCCTAGCAAAGCAGTAAATAGAATAAAGCAATAAATTTGCAGTTTCATGGATCTGACTGGAATATCAGTGACTGGGCAGGTGCAAAGCAACACATTTAAAGACATTGGAAAGCAAGCTTCTGTACTTTGTTACAGAGACTGCTACCACCTAGAATAATGAATTTTTAAATGTCAACAATGCTAATTCAGGGGTGTGAAGGGATTCTTTTCAGTACTTTTGCTTTAAATGAGTATTACACTTTTATAAAGTGAGACTTTAAAAAAAGTTTTCATTGCATGCATATTCACTTGAAACATTGCCACTTTAAAATAAGGGTGGCTCTTCCCTGTGATTTTAACATGATGTGCATACAGTTAGCCTTGAGAGTCTCTAGACCTATTTATGGCTGGATGAAGGCTGAGATGGTGAGTTAGTTCTTTCTGGTACAACCAGTTCTTTTAATATATTCCCCCTATACCTGAAGCTTTTGATTTGTGATCAGGACATACTGGACAAGGCACAAAAACCATTGAAAAAGTCACTGTATGAATCATAGTAGCATGTTAAATATGTTGTGAAAATCAGCATTGCAGACTGCACAGGGAAATTCCTCTGAGGTAATGTTTGCAAAAGCATACAAACACCTTCTTATGAAACAGACTGTCCTGGATCCAGATTGTATTTTTTTTTTAAGATTCCCAGGCCACTGACCTTCCTCAGGCAGCCTTCCTTAGGCAACAGAGTTTAGGATGTTTAACCACTTCTTTGCCAGGCAGATCTGGGATACATTTCTGCATTCGCACAGTTAATGGAAGGAATGCAGAAACTCAGGCCAGTAGGTCACATCGAGCCTGCCTGGAGTCCCAGTGAAGCTCTCTGGGGTGCAGGGGTGCCCGTGGCCCCTTCCACTAGCCCAACCCCCTTTCTTCCAGCCACTAACCTTTTGGTGTTTCCCCTTTATTCTAAACAATTAAAACATTTCTTGTAAGACTTACTTGGAATACAACCCATAAGAGCTTCTCTGAAATGGAATTTAGCTGTTGAACTGCAGGAGGTTCAGCATTCCTGATATCGAACGTTAAGGCTCATCCTGAAATTTCACCTCTTCTCTACTCCCATCCTTCATTATTTATTTCACAATTCTATTATGTCCATTAATCTCTCCTGCATATACCAGCATGCCTACCACTGAGGCAGGATTAGGAAAATCAAGAATGGCAATAGCAAACAACAGAAAGGCCATCCCGCAATAACCCACTTATTTCCTTACTATCTTTCACCATGTTGATGGGATTATATAATATTGCTACAGAAAGGTCCCTTTTTGGTAGGCTGCATAAGTGAGGAAACATGGAACTGGTACAGTGAAGTTGACAGTTGGGGCAATGGTGTAAATGAGCTCTGAAAATCCTACTTTTTGAGCAGCAAAAGCTTTTTCAGTAACTGTGGTAGCCAGAAAAAAAATCACAGAGTAGTTGTTGCTGCTGTCTTTTATGGTTGTATTTTGTTGAAATTTACATTAAAATTAATAATAATTCAGCACTTGAGAGACAATGTTGCTACCACCACAAGCCTCTTATGACTTCTTTTGCCCCTGAGCAAATTCCCGAACCCTCCATCACTGCCGAATACACTTCCAACCAGGTCCGGCTCTTGGTACTGCCGTCCTCTTACTCCAAAAGCTCCTCCTGTAGGATTTCTTAGGGCATCCTCTTGGCATCACACAGCCACCTCATCTCTACTTATCTCCACTGGCCATGTGTGTGCACGTGAGACCTCAGCTTTCGATTTTATCGTAGCCCTTCTAAAACCACACACCAACCAGCAGACCTACCGTCATTCCCCACCTGTTCTTTTCCACCTTGCTAGAATCCCCAGCCAAACCGAATAGAATTTCCTGATCCAGGTCACCTTGAACAATATTAAAAGCAGTTATTTCTCTCCCCCATGTCAGAATGTTACTAAGCAACAAGGCTTTGACAGTACCAAAACAAAACTTTGGGCCTATTGAGATACATTATAGCCTCACAGAGGTTGTACAAAGTAAACATTGCACAACAGCCCCAGTTATATTAAGGACATTTCTTCATACCTTCCAACACAGTCAAGTCTGCAAGAGAGATGATTCACTTGCATTTCTGTCTCTTTAGAATGACACTAGCAGTTTTTTTTTTAAAAATAGCATAACTGTGTTTTGTTTTATGTGCTTGTTTTGTGCATCAGACTTAAGTTTCAGAGGAACAGTTTTGTGACTACTTGATAGATTGAAAGTATGCAAAAGGAGAGTTACATGCGAATGGAAATACAGCTCTGTCTTTCAAACTAAGTACTTCAAAACTGTGAGATCTAAACTGCACTTTATACTGTCCGCAGGACAGACCCTGCTGCGCTTTGTGGTTGCAATCCACACAGAGTGACTAGAGTTAACCTATGACCCCTAGAGAGTGGCTGTGAGGGGCATGGGATTCTTTGAATTCCTAGATCTGAGACTGGGGAGGGAGCTGAGAATTCACGCTTTGTCTCCCCTCCCCCCGCCCCCTTGCATCCAGCACCCAAAGGGTCATGCTGGTTGCTTCTGCATGATCAGGAATCTGGGGCCAGAGGAGAAATGGGTTTCCTGGTGAGCGGAGGGGAGAGGAAACCAGGCAGGACAGGTATGAGGTATCCTGACACTTCCCCAGCTTCCTCCCCTCCCCTCTGAGGTAACAGCATGCAGAAGCATGCAGAAAGGGGAGTGGGAAAGTGAAGATCACCTCTGCTGCTCCTACACGGGATGGCCCCAGGTCAGGGGCTCATGATATCAGGCTAGGATTGTGTCATAAATGCACAGTGGGATGTCTAAATAATCATGTAAAGCAGGGATGCAAAATCTCAGGTCTGGGGGTCAAATCCAGCCCTTTGCGGTTCAACGGGCTGGATTTGGCCCCCAAATACTTGGCCAAGCACTTTTCCCAAGCACCAATCTTTTGGTGGTCTCCAGCTTTTTGTGCATTTCCCCTGACCAGTTCTAAAAGACTGAAATGCCTCTTCTACGTGGTACTTAAGTGAGCTGGTATTTGGGGCTGTGTTGATTTTGCCTTGGACTTCCCTTTTTGCTTTTGGTCCTACCCACCACTGGAATGTGGCCCCCAAGAACTGCAAAAGGGAATTCCGCCCTTGGGCTGAAAGAGTTCTGCACCCTTGAAGTCAGCCTTGCATCGCACATGTGCTTGATTTTGCTGGGTTCTGTTTTCTGCATTTTTTGTTTTAAGAAGTACACAGGCTTTTTATGTTTTAAGGAGTACACACCACTTGGCACTACAAGTTGTGATTAGAATCGTTTTATGATTTGCTGCCTCTTATTCTCGGTAGTTCCTTCTTTATTGGGTTGTCATTTGAGACTTCATATGGTTCATGTATACATACTACATCTTTCAAAGTTGGCCATTCACATATTCTCATTTCTAAAAACATATTTTTCTCCATCTGGTATGGAGAATCATCCCATTTGTAATACAAAAAGAGTACACCCATGAAAGAGGTCACACACTTGACCTGGTTTTCTCGACGGAATGGGAAGAGGGTGGCCTGGAAGTGAGAAACTTGATCTTGACTCCTCTGTCATGGTCAGACCACTTCCTCGTGAGGTTTGAGCTTGGGGCTGATCTCTCCCTCCAGAAGCGTGGGGGCCCTATTAGGGTGGTCCATCCCCAGAGTCAGATGGATCCAGATGGATTCCTGAGGGCTCTGGGGCATTTTCCGGCAGATAAAGCTGGAGCTCCTGCTGATGTCCTGGTTGACCCGTGGAACAGGGAGATGACCAGGGCAATCGACATGATTGCTCCTAAGCGTCCTCTCCTGCCTAGCAGAGCCCACTCGGCACCATGATATATGCCTGAGTTGTGGGTGATGAAGCAGACTGGGAGACAACTAGAGCGCAGGTGGAGGAAATCTCAGGATGAATCTGACCGAACACACTTAAATGCACATTATTGTGCCTATGCTGTGCCAGTGAGGGTGGCGAAGAGGCAGTTCTCTGCTTTCATTGCTTCCTCACAGTGCCATCCAGTGGAGCTTTTCTGAGTGGTGCGAGGCCTGATACATTCTGGCCAGGAGAAGGAAGCAGTTGCACCTTCAGCAGCCCGCTGTGACAAATTTGCCCAGAACTTTAGGGGAAAAGTCACTCAGATTCGCCACGATCTGGACTCCACAGCTGATTTGAATGCAGTACAGGAGGTGTCCAGAGAGCTGCCTGGTCCATCATTATTGGATGAGTTTCAGTTATTGCAGCCTGATGATGTGGACAAGGTGCTCAGAATGGTACGTCCCACCACCTGTCTCTTGGACCCTTGCCCCTCTTGGCCACTTAAAGAAGCCAGTTACAGGATTGGTCCCTGGGTCCAGGAGGTTGTCAACACCTCACTGAGGGAGGGCCGGGTCCCTACCCCCTTGAAGGAGGCGGTGATCCAGCCTATCCTGAAGAAGGCATCCCTGGACCCCGAGGTGGCCGCCAATTTTAGACTGGTGGCCAACATCCCGTTTTTGAGCAAGGTGTTAGAGCAGGTGGTGGTGGGACAACTCCAGGCACTCTTGGATGAAACTGATTATCTGGACCCATTTCAGTTTGGCTTCAGACCCGGTTATGGTACTGAATCTGCCTTGGTCACCCTGTATGATGACCTGTGCAGGGAGAGGGACAGGGAGAGTGCCTAGCAACAGTGATTCATGCTCTGGTAACCTGGTTGGATTACTGTAATGCACTCTACGTAGGGCTGCCCTTGAAAATGGTCCAGATACTTCAGCTGGTACAGAACAGAGCTGCCAGTTTGCTGATGGAGACTGGTCATTATTCTCATATAACGCCAGTCCTCTACCAGCTCCACTGGCTTCCAGTTGAAGTCTGGGCCCAGTTCAAGGTGCTGGAACCTATAAAGCCCTGAACGGCTTGGGACCAGGATACCTGAAGGTGCACCTCTTCTCTTACATGCCCTCACGCTGTGGGAGAGGCTTTGCTCTGGGAGCCCTCTTTAAAGGAGATAAAAAGAACAACTACCTGGTGCAGGACCTTCTCTGTGGTGGCACCCAGATTATGGAATGTGCTCTTTGGAGAGGTGCATCTGGTGCCAAGTTTATATTCTTTTCAGCACCAGGTTAAAACCTTTTTACTTAATTGCTATTTTAAAAATTAACATTTTATTATTAACAGTAGCTTGTTTTTGTTTTTATATAATTTTATGGAATTTGTTATTGTTTTGTTTTAATTGTACGTTTGTGAGCCATCCCAAGATGCTGAGGCATGTGGTGATGGCATATAAAAGTTTTAAATAAATAAATAAAATTACTCTTTTGAGCTCTTTTGACTAAACCAAAGTTATGCATCTAATTGCTTCACAGTTAATGTGCTGTAATTGCATTTTTGTACTTACACATTTCATCTTCTAGGCACTTTGCAAATATGGAAATCATTACTGTTCTCAGTGCTGCTATGAGAAAGAGACTCATTGCCAACTTATTTTCAACATCTTGTACTAGCAATCTTAAATATCTAACTTATACCATACAGCAAATTCATCTTAGCCAATGAGATTATGAAACAGCTTCTACCACTTTGCTTTATAGCCTCTTTAAAGCCATTACACATTGTACAGGTCAGTGAATGCCACTAAATGGGGACTATCAATCCTGTAGAAACGATCTTAGTAACATTAACTGGTAACAATTAACATGTTCTGTATGTTTTTTCCTCATGCTACACTTATGTGCTTTGCAGTATCTTCAGATGTGGAGATACTTTCATACTGCTGCATTTATGAGAATTCCTTGCTGAGTTTCAGTCCTTCTTTCTAGTCTTTCGGATTCGTGCATCTCCTATGGATCAAACTAGATGTCCGCAAGAAACTTATAACTATGTCCAGATAGGTGCGGACTGCAGTGAGGAATGGTGGGATAGGAGAAGGCATTTTCCTTCTTGCCATTTGTCCGCTTAAAGGCATTTCCCTTAGCTGCTTTCCTCGAAGGCATTTTCCTTAGCTGCTTTCCTCCCTGCAAGGAAAAAAAAGGGGGGGGCGGGGACCCATCCCTAGAGATGGTGTCTTCTCCGCTCTCCCTTCACTGAACAATCGACAGCCTTATGTGGTGACTTTTCATTAAAAATCAGACTGATTGGGGTTGTATTGTCCATGCAATGCCTAGTTTTCCCCAATGTATCAGTGCTTGCTGATTGTTTGGAATTATACCTGAATTGACTGCACTCCTGACAGTATTTGGGGATTTTGAATGGAACAAGTTGAGCACTCATTTTCATCAGTCTAACCTTCCTCCTGTGATTGTGCTTGTCTGAACTGCATTAACACGCTTGTTGAGTGCCAGATCGGGCTTGGTTTGTGTGTCCCATTCATAATTTTTAGACTCAGCACTGTAGTAACTTCTTTATGCTGCCTGCACGGAGGTAATAGAATCCCCCTTCTGGCTTGATGTGGAACATACGCACCAGATAGCACACATGTGCAAATAGCTCCAAATAGAAGCTGGGCATTTGGAAAACAGTTGACACAGAAAGTGTCTGTATCTGGGGTTGTACTATTACTGGTGAGCTTCTTTTATCCCAGCTCCTATCAAATCATTCTGGCGTACACACAAAGAACTCAAGGAAGGGGAGGGATTGCTCTTATATCACACTGGGCTTGGGGAATGCTCAGCAGCAGTATTCTCCATTTGTACCTAAATATTTCCAAAACCTAGCATGAGGTAAGAGAAGGGTATCTCTCTTCCTTGTGCCAGAAATCTCAGAAGAGGAAAAGGTTTCCCTATGAGTGATTTCTCCTGCCTCTGATTTCTCATCAGCAGGTGGGAAACTTGAGAAAGGCAGGTCTCTCCCTTTATTTAATCTTAATATGTATATACTGCCCCATTCCCATGGGTTCTGGGAGTTTGTTACTGATGGCAACCTGATTATTTAGTGGAACCATGAGCTGAGAGCCAGTTACCTGCTCCTGTCCCATCCCTACCACATGCCTTCTGGCTTATTTAGTCCCATCTTGATAATCATTCTCTTCTAATTATGGTTGTTTAGAATGCTACCAACAGTCTCTTTTACTTCACAATAAGAATAACTCTTTTGTAGAGGCAAAAACCTCTTCACAAAGAAGTGAAATGTAACCCTGAGGTTTGTCTTGTGAGATATCCTTTTGTTGCTGAAAAGCAAAAAGTCGAAATCCTGTGGAATGACCTTCAGTTGCTCTGCTTTTGTATATTTACTAAAAGCTATACACAGTTAAGGAACAAAGGGGGTGCATTTTTCTCCTAAATAGCGGCAGGATTGTGAGCTTGCTTGAGATATACTTCACCCAAATCTAAACTGACTGCTGTGGCTAAGACAGGCCAGGTAATATCTTCTGGCAGTAATTACTTAAGGCAAAGCTGCTTTGTCAAAGCTAATCACTGCCTAGAAAGAAAGGGGGGGGGGGGAGAACAATACTGATTCATTGACAGAAAATTAAGTGGTCTTCCACTTTTTTCCCTTGCTGAGGTTTTTTTTTTTAATTGCCCTTGGCAAGAACTGTCCTGCACCAAAGTTGTTTAGGGGTCATATCCAATGTTAGTCCTATGTAGAGAAGACCCACTGAATGAGATTTACAACCCAATACAGTATTTGCAGCTGGTTTCCCATTGACTTAAAAGGGTGAGAGGAAACTGGTCTGATAATGTCTATTAGGTATTGAAATTACATTATATATGAATAGGTCTACATGGAACTACAGAATAGTTAGGGTGATCAAGGCCATATTTACATGAGCAATTTCAAAACCTTCTAAGGAAGAGACTGCTAGTTTAAAGGTTAAAAAAAAAGTAAGAACAAGAATAAGCTGGAAGTTAATTACAAGCCAATACTACAGGCTTATGTTGCTTTTGTACTAGTTTCACTGTCATGGATTTGCTCAAAGAATTGAGAAGATTATAGTATGCTGATGGTGTTAAGAACCCATGTTTACTTCAGAAAACTGATTTCCTGGGAACCTTTTAACTTAGATGACTTCTGTATAAATTCTTCCTTAAAAAATTTATTCAGAAGACAGACCCATTAATGGAAAGAAACAATTACACAAATTGCTTATCTTAGCATAGGTGTGTGCAGCACTGGGATATTGATTGAAGCAGAGGATGGTAAGATAATGGATTAATTCACACACAAGCCAATTAACCTTAGGAAGCTAGTGTACATCTAAGCAATGAGAAATGCATTAGCTCTCTAGTTTTAAAATGGAAAAGAGGACAACCTGTTTACAGCCTTCATTATAATTCCATGAACCACTGTGTATGCTATATCTTTATAGCTCTTTATTATTATATTATTAACCCACATTTTTTCCATTCAAGGAACTAAAGTTGGATTACATCATTCTTCTCCTCCTGCTCTCAATCTTATCTTCACAACAACCCTGTGAGGTAGACTGGGCTGAGAATTTGTGACAGGCCCAAAGTCATCCAGTGGACTCCATGGCCAAGTTAGGACTAGAACCCAGATCAGCTGAGTCCCAGCTGTACCATATTGGCTCTCCCTATTTGTGGACTTACCATTATTTGTGGAGAACAAGATCGGAATCCTCATTACTTAGATTTGGCACCCACAAGAGTCCACAGCTGAAGAATCAAACAAGTGGCAAAAATCACCCCAGTACAAAGCTGGAGAACAGATGCCATATCTTTTGCACCTGCAATCAAGTGTCCTGTTTTCGCCCAGCAACGCAACTGTAATTCATGAATTTCCCAGTATGAGATAGGATACACTGCCATAGGCAGGGACAATGTGACTCCTGTTCTGAGACAGGAATGTTGTACAAGCATATTTGTGAAGAAAAAATCACTCTGCACTTATATAGTTCTGGAAATGTTGCAAGCATTTCCTGTATGTTGTCTTACTGTTATCCTTACAACCCTGTAATGTAGGGCAGGCTATAGACCCAGTTACAAATGAAAGACTGAGGCTATGACCACATACCAGGGCACCTAGTGACTTCCTGGCAGAGGTGCTGAAAACAAAGGACAAAGTTGGAGAAAGCGCTCTCAGAACAGCACCCTGGGAGGGTGGCCAGTGCAGAACCTTCTCCTCCCCTCTCCTTGTGGCATCACCGCATTGCCCAGAAGACGCCTGTCACAACTAAGCATGCAGCCACGGCAATGAAAGGTGAGAGCCCTCCCCCTGCATGGAAGATGGGATTCCAGCTAACCAACTGTGACATAGCACCAGGGGATATAAAAGTCCCCGCCAATAAACAGAGCTCCCACATTAAGACACAGCATGGGTAATATCAATGGTTCCTAGAATAAGAAACTGACAATGAAGAATGATGGAGAAAGGTCACCCTATCAAGGAGCACTTTGCACTAATGAATGCTCCAAAGATAAGGCTAAAAAAGATTGGCAACCAGCAATGTAAGATGGGGGAAGACAGGCAAAATAAAGGTACCCTGTGAAGAATAATTGAACCACTGGATCCCAAGTGCCTCTTCATTTGACTATATAATTACATGGTGTATAAAAAGGTAAAGGTTTCCCCTTGACATTAAGTCCAGTCATGCCTGACTCTAGGGGGTGGTGTTCCATCTCCATTTCCTAGCCAAGGGAGCCAGCGTTTGTCCACAGACAGTCTCTGTGGTCATGTGGCCGGCATGACTAAACACCGAAGAGCACTGAATGCTGTTACCTTCCCATCGAAGTGGTACCTGTTTCTCTACTTGCATTTGCATGCTTATTGTCTATATTGCACAGGACATTAATATCAAATGCATAGTACTCCCATTATCTTAAGTGATAGTGTTAGATTACAGGACAGGCCCAAAGCCAGACAATCAAGTTTATAGCTGAGTGTGGATTTCTCTACTCACAGTCTGACTCTCTACCTACCAGATCATCCAGGATGCCTGGAAGATAGGGGAAGGCAAAATGGATACCAAGCTTCATGGATACTGTACTTATGTGGGCAGGAGGCCACGCTTTGGTGCAGTTAACTTTCACTAAGCTCCCAACAGAAGCATATAAAAAAGACATGCTAGATCATACCAAAGATTCATCTAGTCCAGAACTCCATACACACAATGAAAAACCAGCTGCCCACAGGATTGCTCAAGCAGGATAGGTACAAAACCTTTGCCCACTTCAGTTCATCCACAATTCTCTGTCCAATCCCTTTTCAAAGCCATCCTGATTAGTTCCCATCACCACTTCCCATGGCAGCAAATTCCATAGTTTAACTATATGAAGAATATGTGCAAACAACTTTAATTTGTGCTAAACTCCCCCCATTCAGCTTCATGGGAAACTCCCAGGTTTCACTGTTATGAGGGAGAAAAATGAATGTCTTTCTCCATACCATGCACACCTATTTTGCTTGAACAGTGCCCCTAAAGACTTCCTGTCTCACATAGGATGTAGCCATCATGGCTTCCACTGAAGGAGAGGCCTTGATATGACATTTGCAGCTTCACCTTACAGGTAGTCAGTAAGCAACAGCACCAAGATAACCAAGAGTGCTTTGATGTGCTCTTGCAGTGGCTCCAGCTCCCCCTATTTATGTCCCTGAACTAGTCATCGCTAAACTGCAAATCTGCCAACACCTACTAGCAGTGATGTATTTCTGTCTCTGCTGGACAACTGAGTCAAAAAGGAGGGAACATGGAAGCTCCTCTATGATGAACTAGGTGGGAACTGGTGTCTGTTGGTACAACAGGCTAGCCTAAGTTAGGAAGAAAGTAGGGACAGGATAAATGGCTAGCACCACAGTATTCCTGTTGTCACTGTATTTGGATCAGTACATTCTGCGTGGAAATGTTATGGGGCAATAACTAGGTGTATGGGTGGCATTTTAGCTGCCTGGTGCAGCATCGACAGAAGATCTGATTGAACAGTGTAAGCAGCATTACTGCCCAGGTGAGGCACCCCTACATAGAAGAGAATGGCCAAGTAACAGAAACATGCTGCTTGGCTTGAGGAAATTCAGAGATACCACTAAATATTTTGAGTAGTCATTTATAGAAAAATTTATTCACTGTTTAAAAGATGCAATGTCACATCATAAAGAACAAAGAAATATTCAACAGCAAATACCTGGGTTATAAGGTGCAAACGGTTCTTTTACATGCAACCTTGTATCTCAAAATTATTTTTTGTATTTCCTTTTTGCTATAGATGTTTAATGTGTAAGTTTCTACAACTGCGGACACAAAATAATGACAGCCTTGTATACAGAAATGTATTTCCTGATTTTTAAAAAAAATACCCAATTACATGACATTTATATTGACAGTAAACAAAACAAAAAGTTATATACTTAGAAGTATTTTATATGACTTTTTCATCAAAGTAGGTGAGAGACTGTATCAAAACAAGTATTATATGACTATTCAATATACTTTACTTGAATTGGCAGGTCACAGACAAGAAACCTGTTTATGAACACAAAGTTGAAGTATTGTATGCATTATAATAAACCGAGTTTATGTTCAACCATTAGATGAGGATCTCCCATTACTTCACTTTGTGCTGGATCTGAAAAAGAGGTGATACATTTATGAATTCAGTGTGACTTTGAATCTTTACATCATGATACCTTTTAAAAAGGTATCAATGCAAAATCAAAATTTATCTAAAGTTGTATTACTTGGTGCACCAGCATCCATTCACCTACTGATTAACAATCAACCAACACAGCTCTGATCTGACTGAATAAAAGTGGAGCCTGGACAGATGCTAACGTTTGCTCCTCATACAACAGGTGACAAATTCCAATAAAGCCAATCTATGCTACTGTAGGCAAAGCAGTTGGTATGCACTCTTGGGTGTGGGATGCAGGTCCTCTTTGCTGCAAATGCTGAATGAACTCACCCACACAACAGAAAGAGCCTTGAGGAATCAGTAAAAAAGGCCAATCTGGTCTAGCATCTCTTTTCCTCATGGCACCAACCAGATGCCTATGGGAAGTCCACAAGCAGGAAATGAGGGCAATAGCTCTCCCCCACTGTTCTTCCCAGCAATATGGTTGCATCATTCATATACAACACACAAGACTCAGCCAGATGAATCGGCTTTCACATCCCTGCAGCTACACGTGAATCAAAGCTACATTTAGTCATTTGGAGTATTTCCCTCTCTTCCTTGCCACGTAAAAAAAGACTTCTCCCCAAAGATCCTTACCATTCAGAATGTCCTCAAAACCAATGCAGTCATAGGTTCCTTTCAAGATATCCAGTGACAGGTTAGAACTATGAAGGAAGGGAAGATGCTGGGCCTACAAAGGAGCACAGTTTATCATTCAACAGTCTTAACATACTGCATATAAGCAGTCCCTATTTAATCCTCTGCTAAATTGAAAGGGTCAACAAAATTTCTAATATCTGAGATTTCATAAAGAGACAGGGATACTATTGCCTATATTTATCAAATTCTATAGAGGGTCTCACTGTATATTCAAAGTAGGTGTATAAATGTAGCATGCAATATGTTCAACACCTTCCTTTACACATTGTAATCGCTTTCTCCACCTTTTACAGGAACATTGCAGAAAAAATTCTTGCCTTTTCAACCAGGAGAAGAGATGGAGATTGAAACATTGCAAATTAGTTTGCTGCTAATCTAGAGACTATGGCTGAAAAATGAAGTTGACAAGTTATTAGATTGTTAGTAGATTCTCAAGGTCTCTTTTCAGAACTAAGCCCTGCTAACTTCAGTAGGGCTGGCACAGGACTGCTGTCTTTATATAGTACACTACACTGAAAACTTTAAAATTATAATTTAAAAACAAAATATAATTGATATTAATATTAATCATATTTAATATAGTCACTTATACTTCCAATGGAAGGTACTTTCTTATGAGTTATTTTCTCTGTAAGATGCTGACTGCTACAGCACATACACGTGTCACTTAAAACAATATTTTCCTTTCAAACTATTCAGTAAGCGGATGTAGGCTTATTTATTATTTCTATATCCTGCCTTTTTTCCTGCAAGGAATTCAAGGTGGCTTACATAATCCTCCTCTCCACTTTATCAGATTAACTGATGCAGTTAACTAGGATGAAATCTTGTGCATACTAACTTGAGAGTAAGCCTCACTGAACATAACAGGATGTATTTCCAGGTAAACATATGTAGGAACATACTTGTAAGAGTCAATTCCGTCCTGCTCGTGACATTCTCGTGGAGGAAATTACAGAATTTCTTCTTCCTCCACCCCCTAAGTGCAATGTGTACTACTCCTCTGTTTACACAGACATGACGCTCCAGTAATTTTAAGCATGGATCATTTAAAAGCTAACTTTTACTAAATAAAATTTTGCACGGGTCATTAAAAGCTAACTAACTTTTAATGTTATTTCATTTGGTGCTTTAAAGAAACAGGTTGAGCTAGGAGAACATGTATATACATCAGGGTTCCCAGATCCACATGGATCAGTTCCAAGCCACCTAGCGGATGCTTGAAACCATGGATAATAGCGAATACTATATAATACATACAGTTCTTTTTTCACAATTTCATTTGTTCTTACTTCAGCATGCAATTCTTTTATTTCCCTATTAAATCAAGAATTTTTCCTTAAAGGAAGCACTTTACAACTCCCCTTTTGGACTGAGGTGAACCGCAATTAACTGAAAGCACAGTAACCAAGCCAGCAGATATGGAGGCCTTGCTGTATAACTAAAAAAGGACATACCTGTTTCACTGCTTTGAATTCCATTTGCAACTTCAGTGGCGCATGCAGCCCTTGAATATTTCTCAAAGTACTAAAATTCATTTTATCTTGATTTAATGAAAACTACAAAAAGAAGCATTAAGAATTTATTTTTTACTACTACCGAGGAAATACAATACAATTAATTTTCTTGTTGAAATTGGTTATGATGTCACACATATATAGATTTTACTAGCTTATTATAGATATTGTTGGTTCACTTCTTCATATAAGAAAAAAATAAGAGATTATCTTCCCCCAAGCTGAATGCATAAGCACCTATTCCAGGCCACCAAAGCAAACTGCTTGGCTGCTTTTGTGATTCCACCTAGTGGTGAAAGCAAAAGAGCACCAAACCACCCAAATCCTGCTCAACCTGGTGCTCAGGTCTAATGTATTCCTTCAGCCACTGAATGGATACCTGTATGTGCCAAGTTTCACTTTTGTATGCATGAACATTTTACTAGAGCAAAAGTCCACTTCAGTTATCAGTGTTCAATGTGGGAGCAGTTTCCGCATGGCTTTTCCTCATATTGCTGAATGGCAGATATGTAGTCTGGAAACCATATGGGCAGAACTCCTCCTGTGGCTTTGCTCTACCTGATCATTTTCCGTGAGGAGGTAAGATGAAAAAAGCACATTCATTCTGTAAACCATAAATACTTTCTTCACAGACGTGACTAATCGGGCAGTGGACAAGGACAGGAAGAGATGTGTTTATTTTGGACTCTTTGCTCATCCCCAATAATTTATCATTTATTTATTTATGCTTGTATTTATAGGCCGCCTATAACTGCCAAGGCCTTCCTAGGCAGCTTACAGTACATAAAACATATTATACAAAATAAAGCATATTAAAACCTATTAAAACACAATGAATTAAAACACCCATGAAAGCAATATAAAAAGGGCCACAGCATTCAGTCTAAGTGTTAAAAAAATTCCTAAAAAGGTATGTCTTTGCCTGGCGCCGAAAGGAAAATAAAGACGGTGCCAGGCGAATTTCCCTAGGAAGGGAGTTCCAAAGATGGATAGCAGCAGCGGAAAAGGCCTTTCGCAATATTGAAGCAATTTAAATGGAATATATTTAGTTATGTAGCAAGATGTAATTCTCTATTAGCAGAATAATCCTCTGGGCACTAAGTTGCAAAATATGTAAAATGTCTATTCAAATCTACAGCACAGGTGTCCCAGAAACGAATTAATATATAATAGCAACAAAAGAACAAGATTTTAAAATGATATAGAAAGGGTGGGGAACTTATGCGTTTCAGTAGAAAACTTATTCTGGGCACAAACATTCAATTTGTTAAGTCTTTGCAGTAAGATAAATCCAGAAATCAATTTTAATGTAACATGCGTTATACTTGCATATAAGTTTGAAAAAACAAAAAATACATTTATCTGCCTTAGTTTTGTGTAAATCTATGCATAAATTAGAGCACATTTTTAAATACAAGTCTAACAATACACTGGATACACACACAGTCTGCAATGACATTCTGTACCAGCTGGCATTCACAAGTAAGTTTCCAGCTTTCATCTAACAGGCACTGCATCTCATTTCTTTAACTCTTTACAGCATGGGTCCTCAAACTACGGCCCGCGGGACGGACCTGGCCTGCCATGGCCATCCACCCGGCCCGCGCTGCCATTTGCCGCCGCGTGCTTGCTGCGCAGGCGGGGAGGTGGTGGCTTGCTCATTCGGAGAACGAGCGAGCCGCCGCCGCCTGCCTTCCGTACGTGCTCACTGCTGCCTCGCAGATGGTTTTGGACTCACTGGGAGATCTCCGAGCGAGTGAGCCACCACCGCACATGCCCGATGCTGCCTTGTGCGTGTCCAACAGCACCTCACCGGCCCACGCCCCCAGGCACCCCCACCACACCGGCCCGTGACAGTCACTGCAGCCTTTCAACTGGCCCCTATTCAAAAAGTTCAAGGACCCCTGCTTTATGGTATAATTTTATGCACGTCCAAAGCAAAGAGTTCTGTAACTCCCTATATGTCCAACCAGATGTAGGGCATTTTTTCCGTCTAACTTGTAACTTTTCTTCCAAAAGAACCAAAATACTTAAATATATCAGTCTAAGAACAAATGAGATATTCTACAGTGACCTGCATGATCTCCCATTTCAAGATTAGGGATACAAATACTATTAATTTGGATACAACTCAAAATGTATACATTCTACCACAGTTGCACCAATGTTACTGTAGTCGGGTGAGGTAAGTCTGTACAGGTTTCTCTCTGAAAGTAGTTTTATTAATAGAAGCTGTATACACTTTCATTTCTTATTCTTTATTTTTATGTTAACCCATGTCTGTTTAGAATGCATCTGCTAAATGTATTCCCCTGCTCAGAACTCTAAAAAGGTTGCAACTTGTAGGAATGCCATGTTCCTAGTTCTTTTAAATAAATCTAAGTTTTCATCCCTATTGTATCTTTTCTCCAACTTCCCTTTATTCTCTTCTTTGTTAAGCCTTTCACTACAGAACTTTCTACTATGCTCATCTTGTCTGTTACCATTCTCTTCCTCACACTGGAAACAGACTGTTTTTTTAGGGCTCTCTTCAAAATTCCCCATCAATAAGGAATTTATGGCACTTTTGTGGTTTCTCTCCTGAGGTATCCATTTTCTATCCACTCTAATGTACCTGCTTATCAAGCCTGTGCCTTCTACAATCAGCTTGGCTCTGTTGTTTCAAGCTAGACTGCAAACTGTCTAGAAAGGGAAAAGCTCCAGAACAATCTTATCTACATCACTTAGAAGTAAATCCCATTGATTTTAATGGGACTTACTCCCATGTAAGAGGGTTTAGGACTGTAGGATAAATTAGTTTAAGCCCTGTACTTACATTTTTCTCTGATAGTTCCAAAGGATGGACAGGGAAAAGTTCACTCTTCACATTTGCAAAGCTATAAACACAAAAATAGCACGTGTTACTTTAGCTCAACATTTCATTTCATTAACTATATTTCTGAACTGTTTTGACAGAAGATTTTCCTCTTTAAAACATTTCTTTTTAGAACTATATGATCACTACATATTTAGGTCACTTATGTATTATCTTTATCAATGGTTTGTGAATGGTGTTCCAACATTGTCCTTGAGACTTATCAGTAAGATAATTCAATTACTGTACATTGATGTTTTGGTTTTCTTGTTTGTTTTTTGGTACACTTATTTGCATGCTTGTTTTATGAGTAAGGAGAAGAATAGACTACGGAGGATACTGTTGATCATCTTATTAACTCATTTAGCAAATACACAGCTTAAGCTATTGGCTATCATTTGAAGAGGAACATCAAAATAAGAGTAACAGTTTAATCAACAGGTTCCCAATTGTGCCAACTAGAATCCAGTAAGGAAAGCAATCCCAACACTTCCTTCATCATATCTAATCCATAGCATTATCACCTACTTACAAGCAAAAACATTGCATACACACAGTGCTGCCACCAAACAGGTCAGGCAAAACGGGGGAAATGGGGAAGGCTCAGTTGTTGAATCCCATCTTCCTTATAGGTCAAACTAAGTTCAACTTGTTCCCGCTATGCAGGAGCACTGACATGTACACAGTCCCTTAATTCTAAGAAGCAGACTCCTGGGAAATTGCTGCTCTGTCTGCTACTGAAGGAAGGAAGGCAAAGCACTTTCCACCCAGTTCAGGAGGCTGAACTGGCTCCAATGCTTCAGGAAGCGCACTAGAGACCGACACAGAACTTTGGATGGATCCATATTTAATATTTCAATTCTGTGGAAAGTAGCTATATTTAAGGTTTCTACTGACATCTAATATAGTAAGTAACTGGGTGTAACTTTCAAAGAGACAAACATTTAGTACAATAACATTTTGTAACTAAGGAAGCGCCCACCCATGAGAGACATGTGGGCTCCTTCCCTGTTGAAGTCATGGAAGCAGAGATGCTGGACAGAGAAGGACTTCTTTCCTACTCTAGTCTGTCATCTAAGATGGAGTGGTGGATGGCAATGGTGGAGATGGCCTGGTCAGAGTTCATCTCCACTCCTACCTACGCTGCCAGGTGATGAATGGGGGATTGGCTAGGGTTACCTTGTAGATGTGGCAAACACACACACACACACACAGACAGACAGACATCAGAAAGACAGAAACACAGGTGCTTTAGACCTCTGACATCTATCTGTGCACAGGAAGTTCTCCATTATATTTATTTGGATTTCTACTGCTTACCCTCTATGTATCAAACCATGGCTTTCAAATGCTGCACCTGCTGAAAAATCAGGAACTGGAACACAGTCCTTCATCTGAGATCCTAGCCCTCTGGTATTCTGAAACAGAGAACGTTACTATTAGGGATGCAAAATTTAGAGTGCTTGTAAAATGACATTTTTTAGAGATTCAATTAAGACACATACACAGGGGCTTTAGGTATATCACTTGTGAAATACAAACTACTAATATTAAGGTTATCTTTAGGTGCAGAGGGATGTTTTACTGTAGAAGTAAAACAAAAGTTGTTTTTACCCCAAGTTTATTTCATATTCTATGCATATTGCACATGACCTTAACACTGACACAAATACTTGACACTGGAGACAAATCCAGGCTATAACATTAAATCCAAGCTGTGATTACTCTAGCTTATTCTGCCCTGCAGAAACAAAGCTTATGCTCAGTCTGTATATAAACTGTTAATAATCCACAGTGACATTTATTAGAGGTTGTGATAGCCACCACTTTTATGCCCCTCAACGTAATTCTTCAGGTGACACATGACCTGGAATTTTCTGACATGCTACACGAAAAGCTTTACTTTTTGTGCTGTAAAGCTTATCCTCATGGCAATTCTACCATTGCAAATTGTATTTTTTAAATTTACTATTAACTTGATGTTCAGTCATGTCCACTTATGGCCCTTTAATGTTATGGAACATGAATAAGAACACATTTTTAAAGCAGACACAGTATGAGAGCACAAGCACTTTTCTGAGGCAAAAGCAGGTGGTAGTCACTGATAGCAACACATGTTTAAATGTGGGGACTGAATGCATACTGAGGTGCCAAACAGAAAGCATTAGCAGCCCTTGCTGATTTCCAAGCATCTCCAACACTCAGCATACTATCATGGCAAAGTCTATTCTTCCCATCCCTTTTTATGTTTATGCTACTTGATACTGGTGAGGCAATCTCATTTTCATTATTAAAAAAGAAATATTAAAGTAGGCTGAAGACTACAAGGAGGATCCTTTCAACTTCCCAGAGAAAATGAGCTGTCTAAGTTGGACTTGTGTTTTTGGTACTCTGTTCCTCCTTTCAGGAAGGTACTTAAGGCAGAAGCATGCGATGTTAGTCTACAGTCACATAGGCAAAATGGAAAAAAAGGAAAGGTAATCCTAAAATTGGTACAAGGATAACTGAACTAGATATAGAATGCAACTCCTTCACTTACCTATCTGTTTAGCTATTCTTTCCTTTTCTATGAAGGACATCAAATGCATAGCCGCATGTCCAGAATTTTGGATAAAATTCTGAACAACTGTTTATCATAAAGGTTTTTTTGAGAAAAGATGACAAAATTATCCAGGGATACAGAACAGACTATTTTATGAGCAGACACACAAGCTGACGTAATATGGGCCATGAACAGGAGACTGACTAGAAATCAGGATTCCAGCAAATATAAGCAGCATTTGTTTCCTTTCCCACCATCAGCCTTTCTTGTATATTTAAGTTGTAATTGTTTGTGTCTCTTGCAACTAGACTCTACAGCTTTTTGCACCACAAACAATCCTGGCTGGAACCTCCAGGCACTTCCTTTACTCAAATACACACCTCCATTCTGCAAACATTTGGAGCACATAAATTTAAATTATTATTGCAGAAGGTCTGAATGTGGATGGTTTAAGTAAATAAAAGACTAAACTGCAGGAAATCCCTCCGACAGCAGAACTGATACAACTGTGCTATTGCTTCCCTGTGGAAGTGAGATGTTTCAAAAGAAAACCCAGAAGAATCCTTGGGAATGGCCAGTACATGGTGACACAGCAAGAGTAGCAAACGGAGTGTCAAGCCCCAGTGCAAAGGAAATGGGTTCTGTCACAAAAGCGTCTATTTTCAAGTGACACCAGTCCTAAAGTTACGATGAAGCTGCTAGAAGTGAATAGCCAGAGTGCATGTCTATGCTCCACCCATCACTTTCTAAATCTATCTCATTGCTAACTCTTTCTCGCTACTGGTGAATCCAGCTAATAAGACAGGTGCTTCATTTTAAATGCATGTAGCATTTCATTGTTATCTTTCACTTACCTTCCCTGTTTGCTAGCTGCTTGTTGTAGTAAACATTTTATAAATGTTACCCATTGCATCTTGTTAATAGTATGTGTAAACAGGTTGTGAAAAAATTCATTGAATCAAAATAAGGTCTAGGACTAGAACTGCTAATCTATTGGTTTCATTCTTCTTCTCCTACACTTTCCTAAAAGGTTACTATAAAGATAATAAAGATTTTTTTCACCAGTTGTCTCCATGCCAGGAAAAGCCACACAGAAAAGTGAGTTTTTTCTTAGCATGCAACAAAGCAGTGGGAAGACTTTCACCAGTCACTGTTCTTGTCGACTGCTCTTGAAGAGTACAGAAAATAGGGGATTTTTTAAAAATTTGTAATCCTATCCAGAAAACTACACCAATAAATACAGTGAAGCCTAACTAGAAAATCCAAGGCTAAGAAAACAGCACAGTAGAAAAGAAAATATTCAAATGGCATCACTTCCATTTCTGAAAAAAGTTACTATTAAATAGTAACACTAGTACTAGGAGCATGGGACAAGTTGTCCTTTCCCATAGCAGTACTATATAGCAGCATCTAGACTATGCACTGTATTATTTTGTGTTCTCAATCATACACTGCTCAGAAAGCTTCAGTTCTTAGGCAGTATAGAAATAAAGTAATTAATCTGAGTTCTTAAAGAGGTCCAATTTCTCAGTGAACTGCCGAAACCAGGAGTAGGCAGAAGTCTCTGGATGTTTGGAACATAATGGGAACTGTGATGTAAGACTTGTGGATATGTCCTGCCGTAGAGCAGCTTTCTCCAACCTGGCACCCATATCCCCTGGGTTCAGACTATAGGACTACATCTCCCAATACCTCCGCAGCTAGCATAACTGCCTGGTGGAAAATAGAAATGGCAGTCCAACTAGTTAGCACCCAGAGGACACCAGGTTGGGGCTGGTCTAAACTCAGACTCTATGGAAATATCCGAGGAAGCCTATTCTTGAGCACCTAAAAGGCCATTCGAGGGGGAAAGGAGCGAGAAGTTCAAAATCGTGCGTGGTGAATGATAATAATAACGAGAATCAAGCCCCGGCTTAACTTGGCCACCACGCAACGGCAGAAACGAAAGAGCGTTCGCTCCCTCGCCCGGCCAATTGACGCCCCTTCCCCTTTCTCGCCGGGTCACGAATTTGCCCAACGGCCCCCTTCTCGACAGCCCCCGAGCACAGTCGTGGACGGCCCCCCACCCCGCCGCTTACCATCTTTGCACAGTCACCAGCAGCCACTTCCTTCCGCCGACGCCTAGTGACGGACGAAATCGATGACGTCAAAAGCGCATGTCCCCCGACGCTACGCGATATTCTCGCGCGACAGGGGTGGGCGGGGCGAGGCGGGAACCAGGGCTGGTGCGCTGCTGACGGTGTGAGCGCGGGAGGGGGCGGAGTTGGAAAGGTGCCCTGCGCGTCAAAGGTGGAGCGGCCCCATTGGTCGTCGCACCGTCGTGTGCGAGGGACCCTCACTTGAGTTTTCGTTCTGGCGTATTAAGGGGCGTCTCGCGCTATGTCTCAAAAGCTATAGATTATTATTACCATCTTCATT